GATCGCACACACTGATCAATATAATGTGGAATCTCATTTCGACAGGAGTCAAGGTGTGTGTGTGTGTGTGTCATCTGAACAATGGTTGGACTGTATGTAGAGTAAACAGAGTTTTGAATGGTCCTACATCCAGAGCGCTGCCAGATAACGTTCCCAAACATCTACTCTCCACTGTGGAGTTATGGTTTCAGGGCGGAGTGTGTGAGCTGGATTCCACTCTGCATTTTTCCAGGTTAACAGAAGACAACACGTCATTAGCTGCAAGGAATTCAGGTATTTTAAAAGGCATTGTTGATTCTTACTGTATGATATTTAAACAGTGGGGTTAGAGCAGCAATGATTATATCATAATGGCTAATTATTATGATGACAATTTAAGGTATTTTCATACCAAAATTGTCCGACTTTGAGAATTAAATTGAGGCCTTAGAAAGCAACAAGTAATGTATAGTGTATTCCTGCTTGCATGATGATTACACATTGGGGCTAAATGAGATTTCACTGTTTGAAAAAGCTATTTTAAATCCCAGATCTAAAAAACCTTTAATGTAATCAAACACTAAATTGTTTCTGCAATCAAATTTTTGTCCATATATTCTAAACAAAAAATAAACAATATGGTCTGTCATGGTAAGAAATAACGCTCAAATAACAGAATGGGTCTAAAAATGTTTCAAACAGCATCAAGAACATGTTTCCCCCACACATATCTTTCCTTATCTGACTAGTGAGTAAAGACAGGGTGTGCAGCCTACAGCCTGACCAGATTTAGGTGCAGATTGACAAAAACAACGTGATATATTCAGCTGCAGCGTCCACCCCCAGCTCCTGAGGAGGACTGGACTCGAAGTGGCCAGAAGACACGTTTACGTAAGCAGCCGTTTCCAAGGTGACAGTCATGTTCAGGTTTGTTTCCTTTACAGTGACAAACAGCTGACACATTGAGCTTTGGGGAGATTGTTGTTATGAAAGTGAAGTGGGAGCTGGCGCAAATACACCCACACATCATTTCAAACAGAAAGAGAGAGAAAACGAATAATAAAGAGTTGGCGTTAATGCTAAAAATGATCGCTAAATGACAAAAGAGGGACAGTGTGACCCTTCATGTCTCATCTGCCAGAGTAGCATGGCAAACACCAGTGACATTGCACACTAAACAAACAGCAAGGACAATGAGAGAGAGGATGACAAATGCTATCCCACACACACATATTTATTTCTTTACAACACTAATTACATTTAAAAACCAAGTGATTGACTTTGGGGTTTCGATTAAATGAATTAGGCTGCTTTCATGCTTTTAAATGTGAGGCTGAGAGGAGTTATGGTCTCGCTGTGTGTGTGCGTCTAACCTGTGTGTGTGTGTGTGTGTGCGTCTAACCTCTGTGTGTGTGTGTGTGTGTGTGTGTGTGTGTGTGTGTGTGTGTGTGTGTGTGTGTGTGTGTGTGTGTGTGTATGACCTATGTGTGTGTGAGACGGCAGGTCATTTGTATTGGTTTGCCACGGATCAGCATATCCACATGTCAACAAGGAGAAGTGAAGGCATCAGCACACACACACACACGATGCTGTGCCGTAGCAAAAGGGACATCTGTGTGTTTCATTTAAAAGGCTAAAAGGTCAGTCCACACACACACACACAGAAATAATATATGAGAGGCAGGGGGTCAGAGCAACAGATGGAAAGGGGTCACGGGTTTGTGTGTGTGTATAATTCAAAATAAGTAATGATATGGGTGAAAGCCAGACTGGATGATCATGCTAGCTAAAGCAACAACATCAACAGTAGCATTGGGATTTATTCAAAGTAACTAAGTACATTTACTCAAGTACTGTACTTTAATACACATTTGAGGCACTTGGAATTCAATTGAGTATGTTTTCTCACTGTTACTATATAAATGGGTATATTGTACTTTGAATTACCTATATTAATTTGATAGTTACTTTAAAGATTCAAATTTTACATACAAAAGAACATTTAAAAAATATGATTTTAACACTTCAATGCATCAATAATTATAATCAAAACATATATTATATATTATTCTGAAATGGACCAATTTGCAGAATGAGTACTTTAGCTATATTTTGATGCTGATACTTTTGTACTTTTACTTGATTAACATTTTGAATGCAGGACTTTTACTGTGACAGAGTATTCCTACACTCAGATACTTCTACTTTTACTCAAGTACAAGATCTGAGTAATTCTCCCACCTCTGACAACAAGCCTTTGAAACATGTATCCACTGCTTTTCTCCCATAACAGTGATTTTATTGTACTGCTGATAATGAATGCTGTGTTCAACGGATTTTCCATGTTTAAAAACTGTGGAAATGACTTAAACAAAACAAAAGCGAAGCTGGAAAAACCTACCTTTTAGCTTGCAGCCGCAACAACTTCACCAACTGGAGTTCTTAACCTGGATTTGAAGAAAAATACTCTTAATTAGTGAGGTAAAATGGGGGGGTTTGTTAATGTAAAGTATTATGAAAGCGTTTTACAGGCTAAAGGCTCACCTGGTAGAAAGGAAGCCGCTTTAAAATCCTCCTCAGCTCCAATTTACGAGCCGAAATAACGGCCTTAATTCCTCCTCAGAAATCCACCGTTGCTCCCCGGACATCCATGTTGAGCCCCGACAACCATAAAAACCCTCCAAAAAGTTGACTAAACTCTCCCGTGTTACACTACTTTTGTGTTTTCGTTTGAATAATCCTTTCTGTGAATCAACAACGTCTTAAAATCCGTGTTTTTTTAGAGTTAAATCGGTGATTTGTTTCATTCCTCTCCGTTGCTCTTTCTCCACTGACTTCGATCCCTCACGGATTAACGGCAGGTCGCAGAGGCTCCGCCCATTGCAGGAGGACGAGCTGGATGGGCCAATCACACACGAGTATTTCTAATAACCCAAAAGAAGGCGGGGTTTGATCGTTGAGCACACTGAGCATGCGCGAGTGGGCTATTTTCAGCATGATGGTGATCCCACACTGTCATTGCAAAAATTAAATAATAATTATAAAAGTATGAAAGTCAATAATACAGTTTGTGTACTTCATATGTGTGCAATACTATATTTAGATTAAATATATATTATATTTGTTATATTATTATTATTTCGATTATTTAAATTTTCAATATTTTATTTGGATCATTTTGTATTTGTTAAATATCGCTCATGCTTCTTCCAAAACACAGAAAAAAAAAAAAAGAAATTTATTCAGGACTAAATAACAAGTGTGAGGGATCAAATATTGTGTATATTAAAACAATTTACAACAAAATAAACAACAAAGACGTCTGAATAAGCTGTGTATACTTTAATTGATTCAGAAAATATACACAAACATCATAGTAATAAAGTTGAAGCATGGTGAAGAAGAAATGTCAGCTCCATCCCATCGTTGAAATCCGTCCCTCCTGACAGACCTGGGTTCAAACACTCGTCAATAAATATGAACTGGAACCTCTCTGTCATTGCCCGCCACACTGAGAAACAAAACAACATCTGGCAGACTCCAAGGGTTAAAGTGTGTGTTTCACATTTTACCCAGCGCCGTCAGGAGGTCAACAATTCTCTCTCCAGCTCAAACTTTAAACAATCTGTCTCATTCTGGCAAAAGGTATGTACACATTTTACATGTATTCAAAACAAAGGGGAATAAAAGCCAAAGTAAAAAACAATAATACAGACTTGTTCACCACCCAGATCTGATAACTGTCTCATGTTATAGTTTCATCCCTGGTTTTTCATAGCCTTTACTTCGGGGTCATTTTGTGTTTCTTTGTAGTTTTTATGAATGTTTTTGTGGTGTTTTGAAGTCATTTGGAGGTATACACATTGTACATGTAGTATGAAACAAAACAAAAAAGCAAATGTAAAAAAAAATAGTTTTGTGGTCATTTTTGTATCAATCATTGTAGTTCAATAACAACAGAGTGTAAACAATTAATTTCTCAGGGAGTCAGGTGTCATTCAGGACAAAAGACATGGATAGCTGTTCAAACATACTGGTTTGGGGGTGTGTGTGTGTGTGTGTGTGTGTGGCCTAGCATTCCTTGTGGAGACCTAAATCTGTTTACACAGTCACGTGTGGGGACTCACTTCCCTTATGGGGACATTGGAGGTCCCCATAAGGGGAATCATTAATTTTAGGGTGAAGACTTGGTTAGGGTTAGGCATGTTATGGTTAAGGTTAGGATAAGTCTCCAGGAAATGCATGTAAGTCAATGTAATGTCCCCTGAAGTGATGTATACATGGTATGTGTGTGTGTGTGTGTGTGTACGTGTGTGTGAAATAAAATAAGCTAAAGTAAAAAACTATAATAAAAAATAGTTAATTTTATAACTTTCTCAAATTATGTTTTGTCTGTGGTCGTTTTGCTCCTTGTGTAGCCTATAGGTTGGAGTCGTTTTGTGGTCATTTTGTGTCTTTTTGTAGAAGTATTGGATGATTTTTGGCCCTTTCTTACATCTCTTTGTAGTCATTTTGAGGTATCTACACATTATACATGTAGTAAAAAATGAAAAACAACTAAAAAACAATAATACAAACTTGTTCACCATTGAATATGTTAAAACTTTCTCTCGTCTTTTCATACATGGCACGCTACAGGCTTTATCATATCGTACAATCCTCATGGCTCTCCCTTTCCATTTGAATTGGGACTATTCTTCTGTTGTAATTCATCCACAGTCACTCTAATCTCCTCCATCCTTTAGGCTTTCTAAAGCAAACTAAAACGAACACTTAAGACAGTAACACAGACAGACACCGACACATATTGACGAAAAGCAGCCTCTCACACGCTCTTTGATCCATCTGTGTTGAGCCTGAATACACTGTTTGTCTCCATAGTTTTTTACATATTTGTTTATAATCAAGAACACCATAAGCAGCGGATGGAGCTCTTAAACATTAGCAGGTTTTATAGCTGATTTTACATTTTTTTATCACAGGTGTAAACCACAGAATAACTTCAATTTAGTCCGTTTTGTGCACTTTGATGGATTTTTTTGCAAGTTGAGCCTCGAGTCGATGGGCAGGTGAAGATGAGTGAAGAAGAGGGCGGGGCCTGTTTGACCCACTTCCTGCTGCGGCCACAACCCGGAAAAAAGCAGAACCAATCAGATCCAGCGAAGAGTTTTTTTGTGTGTCCCGCTTTTTTTAACATCTCAGTGTTTCTCCGGCTCTTCCTGGTCACACAGCACACTGACAGACACACGAACGGCCTCCACTCCCTCTTTAAAGGCCCGAAACGCCTCCTGCTGCTCCTCTGGTCCTCAGAAACTCATTCATCTCTTCATTCATCCACTCGAAAATTAAGGGCTATTTAACACCCTGCAGCTGCTGAAGCACAAGCAAGAAAACAAAGAAGAGAAATGTCACTATTGGGCTTCATTATAGGATGAAATGTGTGTTTGTTTAGGAAACAAATCCCATGTGATATATAGATTTATTACATGGTTTAGTTTCTGATTGGTCAATTCAGAACACGTGACACGTTGTTAATCCAGAACAGACAGACCGCTGTCAAGGACTTATTGACCGTTGTTAAGGACGCTTACATCGATTGAACTGTATACAGTTTGGCCGAAAAGCAAACTGCATGCAGTCGGGCTCCTGATCAGCCTGTCGGGTGTTCTTTTCCCCATAATGACCGCGTCGCTGCACATTATCCCTTACATGCCATTGCATTAGACCTTCTCTCAAATCGTTCTGACTTCCTTACCATGTCATTCATTCCTACTGAAAAGTTTAAAGGGTAAATTTAGTATTTAAAATATTTTATAGACCCTTTAGTCTCAGGTTTTGGGTCTAAGTGACAGACAAAAATTTTGATGGTTTAGTATTAAACTAAATCTTGCAGCTGCAAAACAGGTAACTGTTCAAACTGTGATCACCAGTTCAATACATTTGACTAATTCGACTTGGTTTCTATACTTATTTGAACATGTATTTATTTATTTTTCAAAATAATATTTTTTTTGTCAACATTTTTCCCACATTTACAGGATATTTACATTTCGGTTAACCGTTTTTTTGGGGGTCGAATATTCTAATATACATTTGCTTTCAAATTCCCATCCCTAATGGATAGCTGTTCAAACATGCTGGTGTGTGTGTGTGTGTGTGTGTGTGTGTGTGTGTGTGTGTGTGTGTGTGTGTGTGTGTGTGTGTGTGTGTGTGTGTGTGTGTGTGGCCTAGCATTACTATCCTTGTGGGGGCCTAAATCTGTTTACACAGTCACGTGTGGGGACTCACCTTCCTTATGGGGACATAAGGGAGGGGAATCATTAATTTTAGGGTGAAGACTTGGTTAGGGTTAGGTGTGTTATGGTTAAGGTTAGGATAAGTCTCCAGGAAATGCATGTAAGTCTGTGTGTGTGTGTGTGTGTGTGCTGGTGTGTGTGTGTGTGTGTGTGTGTGTGTGTGTGTGTGAGTTTGTGTGTGTGTGTGTGTGTGTGTGTGTGTGTGTGGCCTAGCATTACTATCCTTGTGGGGGCCTAAATCTGTTTACACAGTCACGTGTGGGGACTCACCTCCCTTATGGGGACATAATGGAGGTCCCCATAAGGGGAATCATTCATTTTAGGGTGAAGACTTGGTAAGGGTTAGGTTTAGGCATGTGTTGGTTATGGTTAAGGTTAGGATAAGTCTCCAGGAAATGCATGTAAGTCAATGTAATGTCCCCTGAAGTGATGTATACATGGTATGTGTGTGTGTGTGTGTGTGTGTGTGTGTGTGTGTGTGTGTGTGTGTGTGTGTGTGTGTGTGTGTGTGTGTGTGTGTGTGTGTGTGTGTGTGACATGTCCATACCTGCCACTGACCTGCAGGCCAGGAGGAATTCATTTTGCCAGATGTTCAAAGGGCACACTGACCTGAGAGAGGAGGGAGAGATGAAAAGCTTAAAGCAGATCAAAAGGAGCAATATTATAGCTCTTCCACGTCCAATCGTTTTATGTCCTATATATATTCATGTTGCGTTGTTGGAGGAGCCTGGGACTTACGTTTTTCATTGCCATATCTACACTGTAATTACTGTGCATATGAAAATTAAGCCTTGAATCTTGAAAGATCTTGAAAAAGTTATTTATTGACCTCCTGGGTTTAGGGATTTGGGCTATTTGTTCAGAATATGAATATACAGTATGTGTTCTGTACGAGGCGTCTTCCTCTCACAAAGCTGTGCTGCTAGCATAGAAATATTATCGAACAATGGGCCCTGGAGCACAGATATGTAAAAGCCCCACCTCTTCTCCCACAAAGGAGCAAGACACAAAGACCTTATAGTTGTTTAGCTTCGTCGTGTTGAGCTTTTGTTTCTATTAATGATCATTGTAGCCATGTTTGGTTTTCTGTGGTTGTTTTGCCAATATTTTGTAATTCTGTGTCTTTTTCTCTATCTATTTGATGTTGTGTCTTTCTGTGTCTTCATCTTTTTTGTAGTTTTCTTTTTACCTTTGTTGTTGATTTATTATGCAAGCCCCACTCTCCCTACCTGTGAGGCAGCTAAGCGAGACTGCTCGAGGCGTGCAGTGACGTCGGAGGAGGAGACGTTGGCTGGAGCTCCACGATGCAGCCTCATGGCCACCTTCCTCTCCCGCTCAGCTCGCTCTGCTCTGCCCGCCTGAGGGGAGCGGTTACCTGTACACACACACACTTGATTCAAAGGTCCCCTATTAGACTGTTTCTCATCAATATATCACAGGTCTCAGATATATACAGAACCTGTCTCTGATTGGCTGAAACACCAAACAGATCATTGCAGCATTACCCATAATCCCCTCTGTTTCAGCCCTGTTTCCAAAGTGCTGATTCTCTGTCTATTACTTTAGATGAAAATAAGGAGCCCCTCCCCACGCCCCTCTGAGAGACATTTGGTTACAAAGAACTCAATGGTGCTCTAGGAGGAGATTCAGGTG